GCTCCAGTGGATTATTTCCCTCACTTTCGTAGGACTTCTTGGCAATGACTGTCTAAGAAACGACTCTTCTACTATAAGCTGCCCAATTTAATAAAAGGTATTATTCCATGTATCGATTGCACGTTGATGCTAATTTGGCATCAAGCATTTTCTTTTATCTTAATAGACAGGTCAGATGTCTTCTGTCTTGGTCATTTATTGTAAACGGCAATGATAGCATTCAGGAACCTAGTTTGTTCTTTTCAGGAAGAAAACAAGTTCTTTTATAAACTCTGTGCATAAGCAGTTTCAGAATCATCTTTCCTCCCACCCGCCTCCCCATGCCTTTTTTCTGCTATGTCTTGTCCAGGTGCTCTTGGCAAGCTTTGGGAACACACAGCACTGAGGGGAAACAACCGAGATTATTTAAGTGTCAGTGGAAGTAGTGTAAGTCAGATCTCAGGACTTTTTTTAGAAGCAGAAATTCATGCTGGTGGGGGCAGGTCTCCATTCTGCCTGCTGGAGCTCTAGTCTCCTTGGCTGGCTGTGTCAGTCTTCCGCAACAGCTGGAATTACCAGTAGTAAGTGCCTCAGGGTGATTGGCCTTAACATTTTTGTGTTAAAAAATCAAATAACTGGGTTCTCTTCTGCAGATGAAAGAGCAGCATGAATTTCTTTACCTTATTGTATCCAATGTTCTTTTTCTCCATTTCAACATATATAGTACAAACAGTATAAAGATTTTTGTATCCAGAACTAAACTGTGACCCATCCAGAGAAATGTCAACTTCTTCACTGCAAACTTTTGAAAAAACTAGGGAATGCCTGAAGGTTGTAGCTAATACTGACATAATTCAAACAAGTATATTCTTCTAGGTGATTTGCATGGCTTAATTTCTTTAACTATCACCTCAACCCTATGAAACACGTACTATTCGATCTCTGTTTTAAAGATGAAGGAAATGCATTCAGAGAGAAGAAATAATTATCCCAAGGTTATACAGCTCATATGCAGTGAAACAGAAACTTGAATACAGTCTGACTCTAGAATCTGCCCCTTCCCCTTGCTATATTACATCACTCCTTTTCAGTTATGTAAGCTTGTGGTCTCTAAATTACATTATGAACAACAAACTATGTTAAAAAAAAAAAAAAACTATGGTAAAATCAATGTTAAAAAGAATAAACCTAAGGAAGAATTTTATTAAATTTCTCAAATAATCATTTGTCTATTGCCACATGGTAGCTGAGAGACAGAAAGGTCTGAAAATATCACAACAGATTCTTTAAAAATTAAGTAGCCTCCTACATAGCCAGGCCCTAACTCCCTCCTATCTTCTGGATTCTCTGGAAAACCAAGGTTTGGACTAGGCTATTGTCTTCAACCTCCAAGCACTAGACGTTCATAACTTGACAACAATGTCTAGAACAAATCGAATAATGTTTACAGCTGGTAAGTAATGTGAAGTGAAACAGTGCTGTGGTCAGAACTTTACAGAAAAGGAGAAAAGGAGCAGTATAATTTCCTTCCTTTCCCTCAGCATCTGGTCCTCTCAGATTTTCCTGTCTTCAAAAAGACACACTTGTCTGGCCATACCCACTGTTTTCACAACTGGAGTTATTTTGGCAGTTCCGAAAACATCTACTGGCAACCAGTGGATGTTTTGTGAGGTCTAAAGCTTTTAAACGATGGAGGAATCTTCTTTAAGAAAAAGAATACCAGTTTATAAATACAAAATTAGTGTATTCTAGGATTTATTATAGCAATCTCTTTACTTGTCTCCTTGTTTTCATTCTCTTTCTAGTATTGTATGTTTTCACATGTATAAATTTTAGGTCTCAAAGTGTGTTTGTTTGGAAAAATTGAAATAGACATGTCACAAATGAGAGACCCTACATCAGTTAAGCTTGGGAAATGCACATAATATATTTAGTCTTAGTGATTCCATGATGTACACACCAGCATCACAAAGGCACTGAGAAGTCTTATTTTAAAAATCTGCAAAAACTTATCTGTCCATGGAAACCTTTTTTTGTGGAATAGCTACTAGCATTTTACAGGCAAAACCCAATTTGGGAAACTCTGATCTAGGTTCAGTTCAGTTCAGTCACTCAGTTGTGTCTGACTCTTTGCAACCCCGTGGACTGCAGCACACCAGACTTCCCTGTCCATTGCCAACTCCCGGAGCTTACTCAAATTCATGCCCATAGAGTCAGAGATGCCATCCAACCATCTCATCCTCTGCCTTCATAAAACATTCACATATCATGTTTCCTCTCAGATGACCAAAAAAAAGTCCACAGTTCACTAATTCCTCCAGGATTAGGTTGAAATGAACAAGACCAGCACTTCAGGGCACCCCCAATCTGGCCATGTGCTCTCTGAACCTTATTTACTACCTCCTCAAGAGCAAATGGTTTGCTGTAGTGGTTCTACCTTATTATTCCTTAGAGCGGGTACCCAGCTCTGTCCCTCCCATTCACCAACCGCTCACAGCACACTGGTCTGCATTCTCAAGACTTGCATTTGTCCTAAACCACAACTTGCCTTGTTAACTCAATTCTTTAACGTTAGCACTTTCTCTCTCCCAGCTAACTCTTTTCCAACAGGAGGCAGAGAACTCCTTTTGTCTGCTTCCTCGGTATCCAGGTGTGCACTGATGATCTGGCTGTGCAAAAAGATGGCCCTTGGAAGGCATAGACTGACTGAGTAAATGAATTAATGAGTCAGTGATTAATGAGTCAGCCTTGGTAAACTCCAGGCTGCCCGGGCACTCAGGGATGAACATGTCAGTATATAAGAAGAGGTCACTGATCTAGCTCCATTTCTACCACAACATCCCATGATACAGAGAAGGTGAACCAGGGCAGGCGCTTGGTAGGATGGACATGCAGATCATCTGTCTGTCTCATCAGGGCAGCAGGATGAGAATATGTAAAACAGGGCTTGTACCAAAGGCATCAGAAGACATATGTATATGCAAACACTAGGATATAACATCTTCTGCTAATCATAAAAATACACAATGCCCAGCAATATCTTTTCAACAGCTGCTTAATTAGTATCTGCTAACTTTGGTAAGTTGATCACTGAGCCAATTTTAATGCTATCTCAAATATTAAATTAAACTCTCTTGTTTTCTTAATATCAAGGCTCCTATTTTATCTTATAGGTAACTTTTTTCCCTCTAAGTAGAATAAAATTAAATACGTTCATAAAATATTCATTAATTTACATATGAGTGCAAATCTATCTGTGCTTCTAAGTTTAAATTAGCTTTCTCCTTTAGCCTGGGATGACTGACTATTTGCTGTAGATAATTCTCTTAAGTGGTTTATCTTCTTGATTGTTCTATTATTTGATCTATGGTTTGAAATGCCTTTTTATTTCTTATATACACACACCTCTACTTGCGCACAGTACAAAGTAACTAACCCAGACATTTCATTTATTTTGTTTAGGTGTTAGAATCCATGTCCAAATTATAAAAATCCATAATAGTAATTTTAGCAGCAGACTACTGGATCTTTATTTAAACAATAGTTTTAAAAAGTTTGGTGTGTGTATTTATTGTGAAATGATTAGCACAAGTTAGTTAACATCCATAACTTCACATATTTACAAAATTTTTTTCTTGCGATAAGAACTTTTAAGCTGTATTCCGTGGAAAGTGAAAAGTGAAAGTGTTAGTCCCTGGGCTGTGTCTCACTTATTGTAACTCCATGGACCGTAGCCCACCAGGCTCCTCTGTCCATGGAATTCTCCAGGCAAGAATATTGGAGTGGGCTGCCATTCCCTTCTCCAGGGGATCTTCCCAACCCAGGGATCAAACCTGGTCCTGCACTGCGGTCTTCCCTGGTGGCTTGGTGGTAAAGAATCTGCCTGCGATGCAGGAGACCCAGGTTTGAACCCTGGGTTGGGAAGATCCCTTGGAGAAGGGCATGGCAACCCACTCCAGTGTTCTTGCCTAGAGGATCCTATGGACAGAGGGGCCTGGCAGGCTACAGTCCATGGGGTTGCAAAGAGTCAGATACAACTGAAGCGATTAAGCAGCAGCAGCAGCTCCTGCATTGCAGGCGGATTCTTTATCATCTGAGCCACCGGGGAAGCCCTGAACTCCCTTAGCAACTGTCAAACAACACAGTGTTGTTAACGACAGTCACCACGTTGTACAGTACATCCCGAGGACTTTTAATTCAGAGTAAAACTGGAAGTCTGTACTTTTGACCACTGTCACCCACTTCTCAACCCCTCCCGCTCCACCCTTTGCCTCTGGCAAACACCAATCTGTTCTGTACTTAAACAATACTTTTGATGCAGATGGTGATGACATTGAACAAAAGGCAATGTCAAGGTGGCCAACCCTAGATCTGTCCCTGCGTGATCTGATCTCAAGATATTTGAGCTGGAGTTGGTCCAGGGAGCAGATTGGGTAACAATGGACAGGACTAGGATTTCAAGCTCCAGCTCTACTGAAAACCCTCAATGACCCTGAGCAAGTCTCAAATTTTCACTGGGTTTTAATTTTCTTATTTGTAATTTGAGAACGTTGGACTTCATGTGGTCGAATTTTGCGCCTCTAATCAGCAAACTTCTCATCCTTTTAAAAGTGCCTCTAAAAGGTATTTGGTTAATTAAGGAACTAAAATTACATTGAACTATAGCTTCCAAGATGCTAAGTTTCAACCAAATTCCTGGTACTTCACTAGTATCAGTCCCAGGGTTACGAGGTATCATGTTGCTAGAGTCAATTCAGAAGGACTTAAAAGACAAGCCACTCCTTGACTGGCTTTTTCTAAAGACATGTATTTATTACATTTATATAAGAGTTTTAAAAAGAGGATAAATTGAAAAAAAAAAGATAAATTGAATATATTTAAAATTGAAAATATAATACTAAATTTTAAAAGGTCTATTCAGATTTGTTCTGGAGTTGTCTGCTTTAAAAAACTTGAAGCATTTAGTCCATATGAATGATTGTACTCAGTAGCATTTCATGAAAAACAAAACCCAAACTTACCTGTACATTAGCATGGACAGACCCAGGCACTTGGTATTTCAACTCGTGGGCTGTTGTTTGAGATTTTGGAAGCAGAAAAGGATAAGAAAGGGACCGATATTTTGGTTTCATAATCTAAAATAAAGAGAAACAGGTAAAAAAGATTCAGATGAAAAAATAATTCTGGTCTTCCCTACTTTGTGATTCTAAAAGATATACAGGTTCATTTGAAAAAGAAAAATAAATATTAACAGTGGGTATTTCTAGCTGAAGAGACAACAGATTATTTATTTATGTTTTCTGTTTCTCAGAGGCAGAAAACTCCTTTGTTCCTTCTTCTACCTTTTGGATTGAGCACTGAAAGTGAAAGTCAACATTCAACTCATTGCAACCCCATGGACTATACAGTCCATGGAATTCTCCAGGCCGGAATACTGGAGTGGGTAGCCATTCCCTTCTCCAGGGGATCTTCCCAACCCAGGGATAGAACCCAGGTCTCCCACATTGCAGGCAGATTCTTTACCAGCTGAGCCAATAGGCAAGCCCCAAGAATACTGGCCTGGGTAGCCTCTCCCTTCTCCAGGGCATCTTCCTGATCCAGGAATCAAACCAGTGTCTCCTGCATTGCAGGCAGATTCTTTCCCAATTGAGCTATTGCTTCGTATTTTTAAAGAAAAGTTAAATATAACCTAGAGCTGTAGAAGTATACAATTGCAAAATGGGATTATTTTATAAACTGATATTTTACTATGCTGTCGATATCTCGTAACAGCAATAAATACTATGGGTTATTTTTAAAACAACTTCACAGTAAAATGTCATGGAACAATCATAATTTGTTTAATAAAGTTCTATTAATGAAGATTTCAGTTATTTCTCATTTTATATGAATTATTAGATACAATGTCAAAATAAATTATTTACTGAATAACTTCTTTAGCTTAAATACCTGAAATTGATTTTCTGAGTCAAAGGTTACATACTTTTAAAACTTTTTTGCAATTATACCAGTTTATCCTCCCAGGAGTAGGGTATAAGAGCATCAAAGATCCTGAATCCAATTGTGGGTTTCTGCAGTGTATTTAACTTTGCCAGTCCAATAGGTTAAAAATAATATCCCTTTATTTATTCCTGCATTCACCTCTAAATTCTTGTTAAAAATATTTCCACTATTTCTAAGAGCTCCCATTAACTGTTTATAACGTAAATTAAGTGGAAAATAAGGTGACACTCTAAGTTAACAAAACTAAATTTTTTCCCAAATTATCTCCAAACTATAGGGAAGAAATGCCTCATCGCCATTTAAAATAAATAAAAGGGAATCAATAATAACAAGACGACAGGCACTTAACTTACGAGTATTAGGTCAAATTCTTATAAGTAATGAAGGTGTCTTATGAAAGAAGACAACATCTGGAGGAAAGAGAAGTAGCTCCATCTTCTCATATTGCTCACTTTGCTCAGCACTGCCTCTCAGAAGCCTGTGCCAACATGGATCCCGGGCAGTGCCGGGATCGCAAGGACTTGAAAGCTGCAGCTCTCCCATGAACAAGGCTCCCATTCCTGCTACAGTAGCTTAGCAGGCCTCCACGTGACTATCAACCCAGCCAAGATGCTTACACTGGGAGTCCCAGGTTAATGGTTAAACCATAGTCTGTGACGTTAGCACCATCCCTCTGCCCTCTGAATTATTTGTGGAGGAAAAGTTCAGGGACTTTTTTTTTTTTCCTCTTTTGCCCAGAGTCCCAGGTGCTCTGAGAACCAGCCACTCAACAGTGGGTAAAGTGGCACAGATGCGGCCACGTCAGCCCCTTCATGCCTCCTCTTCCCGGCCTGTCTGAATGATGCTAAAACCACCCACGTACCTTCGTGAAGTTCCAGCGCTGGATGAAGTGACGGGCCACGTCGCGAGCTGCCTTCCCGTGGACTGCAGAGGCTATGTCATGCCATGGCATCCGGGGGGTGGAGTGCCTATCAATGAAATCTGCCCAGGTGCACCAGGCAAGGATCCAGACTAACTTCTGTGCCCACAAAGCACAAGCCATCTGACCCCAGCTCTGACCCCAACTATGATACATAAAAAAATTAAAAAAAAACATGGTGATGTCCACCATATGTATATTTCTTGACTTGGATAGAATAATACCTTTATAGCCAAGGGAAGCATAGGTCTCACATTGAGGAACATAGTCCCTATGCACTCTCTCAATATGAAGTTTCCATTCCACGATTAGATAATCACTGAGCAAGGCAGATGTGAGTTGGTACAAATTATCCAAAGATATAAACGTGATATTACATTTTTCTCTTCTACTCTGTTGAAATAATGTCAAGCTAATGTGGACTGCCATTTCTAGTTCCTGTTCAGTGTGCAAGCACTTAGATGATCTGAAATGTGTTATTTTAATGTTGGAAGATGAAGATGATAAACAGAAAAAAGGAGATCATCAAAGGAAGGGAAACATCTCCCAGAGAATTACAGATTATGAGGCCTAAAATATGCCTATATGCAACCTGGAGATTTCAAACAAGTAGGCTATATTTCATTTTCTTTTCTTACTATATTCACAAGGAAAAACCCTTAAGTATATGACTAAATCATGGTCTCCAACGTTTCACCGAATGTTCAAAACAAAATAAAACAAAACAAGATATTAGATCATGCACAGGCATACTTGTTATAATACCAACAAGGAAAAGACAAAATATGCACAGCCACCCACTACCATGGTACTCACCAGCAAAAGGTTTATCGAGTTGAACCCAGTCTTTGAAGACGAAATTGCAGTAGTCTTTTCCATGCCAGAATCTGGTTTCCCCATGGAGCTCTCCCACACGTGTCTGTACACTTCGGAGGGAGGCTGTGTCTGTAAATGCAGCAAGACTCACTCAAAGGCTGTGGTTCAGGCGGGCCCCAGAGAGGGAGGCTCACCTCTCATTTATTAACACCTAAACATTTCCTAACTTTTCTTCTTAAGCCTCATAACAAGGGCGGCATGGGTTCGTTCCATCTGAGGCTGTGGGCTGGCTGTGGGCTGAGTAGTTGGGGCTGTAACCAGGTTCATCATTTGACAATGAAATTTAATAGTTTTATTCTCATCATCTACCAGATCACTGGCAGAATGGATCACAGGGTTAACTTGCTGGGAGACAGCAGTAAAGCCAGGTCTGCTGGAGGAACATGAGATGCTGAGGCCATAACGAAGTCATGTTCTTCTTTTTGCTCAACCAATATGGTGCACATCTAATGTGTAATTCTTGTCTCTTGCATTTCAAAATGCAAGAACCTCAAATTTGCAGACAGCACTAGCCCTGGAATTGACTAGTTAAGTGACACTGAGCTTCACCCTTTTGGGTCAGAAATCCTTTATGTACAAAAGGAAGAATTTGGCCCAGCTATCATCTAAGATCTTTTGGGCTCTAACATTCTATATTTCTATAACTATAAATGACATCCATAAAATATCATAACAATAGAAGAAGCTTACAATCACATGGGTGCAAAAGCAGCATCTACTGCAGTATTTCACAAAGAGCTGTGTCAGGACCATTTTACTTAAGGGTAAATATGTTGACTTAAATAGTTTGTACATTTATGGGATATGCTGATCACAAAGACAGCTAAGCAGGGAAACTAGCAGAACTACAAATCACAAAATGCAGCGCTTGGCACAAAAGAGACACTTAACCATCAGACACTGGATGCAAAACATTTGTTGAACGAATAAATGGTACCACATACAGAAGCCAGAGTGAATACTGGACTGGTCCCCCTACCACCATGCTGCCCCAGATGTGTCCTTCCAAAAATGCAGATTCCTTATTTAAAAGCCTTCTAGGATGACTTGCCTACAGGGGGTCAAATCCTCAGGGTTTAGTGTGCAGAGACAGCTCTTCTTAAACTGCTGCCAATCTCTCTTTCTCATCCTCATTTTCCCCACACAACCCAGGCCCCAGGTACACCACCGTTCTCACTGATTGTGACAGACCTTGTCTGTCATGCAGCCAGCACATGATTCCTTTAGCCTGGAATGTTCTTCCCACCCTCTTGGTCTGACCTCCTCCTCATCCTTCAAGAGCCACATTAGCTGTCACCTGTCCTAGAGCCACTCCCCGTATCCCAGCAGGGAGAGGCTGTGGAACCACTTATAGTTGTGCACCCCAGGGCCCTGACTCTGTGACCCATCTGTCCCTCCCTGTTCACCACTCACTCATCTATAAACTCGGGGGTGGGGAGTGCATCCCTTCAGTGCCTGGTATAGCTCCTGGCATTCAGTAGGCAATCAATAAATAAATTGCAGAGTGAAAATTTTTAAACAATCACGATGCACTCTGCTAGTGTTCTATCTCAAACTGAATAATTAACCTCCAAAATTATTGACATTTTCTGTAAAAGAAAAATGTCTTGAAGTCCTAACAATGAACAAAACTATATAATATTAAAAATTAGAATTCTATTCATTTCTCCTAGTGATTTATTTTCCTTTTCTCTGAAACTGAAAGGCCAAAGTAATGGTAGATCTATTTGCTCACCTATAGGCTCTTTATAGTAAGCATGGCACTTTATTAAAACAATAAAAAAACTATAAAAAGGGAATAAAGAGAAGACAAATAGCAGGTCAATTCCAAAGTAAAATTAAAAAATATATATAAAATTTGTTTTCATCAGTTGAGAGACTTTGGGCTAAATGTTGACATATATACACATATACTTGTTTAAAAATTAACTTTCATCTAATTATCTGTTTTGACAAGAAAAACAAAGCAAATTCTTAGTTTCAGAAAATGATCTTGAATTGAATTCAGATTGCTGCTAACTGAATTCAGTCTGCTCATAATTCAAATTTGGTTTTGGTCATGGCCTAAACCAGTGCAAATTAATCAGGGTCCTCCTTAGAACCAATGAAACACTAAGGCTAAGCAGAACCAAATCTTGCCAGTGGGATATTTCCCCCTGCTGAATCACTAAGGCACTAAGTTAGTAAAAATTTAATCCCAACACTTGTCTACTATTTAATAGATAATAAGCTGTTTGAGAGCAAAAATAAGTGTTATACAATGTACCACTGCATCCTGAGAATGGAGTTGAGAAATGACTTGACTTGCCATTCATTCTCCCTTATGATTAAATATCTGAGTTTGAAACACTTGCCTCAACTAAATGACAAGAATTATCTTCCCCATTAGCCATCTATTAAATCATGCTTAACAGGAAATCATCAGCAAACAATTACTGAATACAAAAAGAATAAAATTCAACCCTTTTAAAATGACTGTATCAAGCAAACAATGTGTTTGAAATTCTCCCTCTTGCAACATAATTTTGAGAGGGAAAAAAATCTTGAGGATGGCGGACTGATTTTGGATTAACATATATACTATAGAAATCTATCATAGTTACTAGTCACATTTAAGATGAGCTGATTTTACTCCACTTTTTTCTACTTAAAAACATGCAATGATCTTGTGTGCACACTCTACGGATTTCCACACATCACCAGTAAGGTTCACTCGGAGCCCCATTCAGAGAGGCCTTTTGCATTCAAGTGAAACATTGCAGAGAAGCTAACCCAGGTCATACTTTCAGGAAAGGAAGTTATTAAATCAAGCAAACATTCAGTTTCAAACTTATGATGAAGAGTCACTCTATGCTTAATTTGGGTTTCTAGTCCCAGAATTAAGACAATAAAGTTTAATTCATTACATGATTTAAATTGTAGAGCTGTGATCTTTAAACTTCCTCCTCCATTAATAGGAGAACCTTAGTTTTTTTCCCCCAAAACAAATTCACATGGCAGTCCGATATATAAAACGATGTAAGTGGGATTTTTCTGGTTGAAGCAGGTAGCAATAAAGGTAGGAGGGGCCCAGGTCTCCAGTAGTATCCTCAAAGCTCCCCGAGAAACACCAGGATTTAAGGAACAGACTTGGTAAAGCACTGCTCCAGAAGAACTCAACTATTCTTTGGCTTTGCTTTTTAGGTAAGTGAACTTTTTTTCATATTAAAAAGCTAAATCGGTAACTTAACATAGTTAATGGAAAGAGTGCTCTTGGTCCGTGTCCACTCTGTCACCTCTACTTCAGGATGTATTCAGTACCTGCCTGGTCACGATCTGCCACCCCTATCTGCTCTGAAGAATAAGCCTGTAAAAAATGTTCATCAGATCTTGTCTGGCCTTTGCTCAAGACCACCTGATGACTTCCTTTTTCTACTCAAAGGATAAGGTAAAATTCTATAATCTACTCAACCCTGTCCAACTTTGCTCCTATCATTATCCCAGCCCTCCCAACTTCAGCCATGGAAGTCTCCTATCCCTTCCTGTCTCACAGTCTACACTGCCTGGCCTCCCTCACCAAAGACATTCTCTCATCCTGCTTCTCTCCTTTTTGATCTTTGTCGAAAACTCATCTCAGTGGAAAAGCATTCTCTGACTCCCTCCTCATATAAAACAGTCACTCCTTACCTCTGCCCTTTCTCTCTTCCCCTGTTCTATCATTCTGCGTGATAACTCATACCACCTGACACGCTGTGTTTGATGGTCTATTTCTATATACAATTCCCATCCTCACTTTCCAACTAGATAACTGAATTTCATTTGTGTTGTTCATCCCATCCCTAGTACCCAGAACAATGCTGACATATTACAGGAGTTCAGTAAGTACTTATTTAATGAACAAATGAGTCATACACATTTAGTTTTGTATTCCCACTTACAATTTTTAATGATTGTGCAATTCCATCAAGAGAATGGATTGCTAATCATGTTCTAGAACCATCCTCCATCCTCTCTTGGATATTTAGGGTGTTTACTTTTTTTCCCCTCTATCTCTCTAAAAAAAAAAACAAAAAAAATACCAAACACTGCATTGGATGTGTATCCAGTTTATTAAAGAGAGGATTTCCATCAATGCCTAAAAACAACCATATTGCTGTCTCTAGTTCATGACTGTGGGAATCACCCCCTCAGTCTGCTATCAGCCTGAATTACTTAATATATTCTGCACCCAGCTTGCATCTTCTTTTCTACTTGCCTTCAATCCTGTTGTCAGCAATACTAACATTCAGTCCCCTCATTGCTCCATCTTAACTTCAGTCCTAACACAGCAAAGCCACATGCTGGAATTACGAAGCAATATCTGGACCTATTTGTAACCCTTATCTTTAAAGTCTGCCTCTGCATTCATCCCTGACCTGGCTCTCTGGACTTCCCAGTGCCCTGTCTCAGGGCTATGCCGCTCTACGGAGCACAGGAGTTACTGTGAGCTCTCCCTGAATCCACATAAGCATCGAGGACTAGCTGTATGCTAAACCAATAAAATGTCTCCCCATATATGCTCTTCTCCATATTTTAATGGTATCAGTGTTGTTGAGATTTATGATATGTAAATGGATTTAACAGTTATATTGGTGCTTTAGTTCACTATAAACAGTCAATCACTTTAACAACTGCAGGGTCCCCAGACTAAAGAATGCTGGAACCACTGCCCAAGGTCCAGCTTAGAGTTCAGGGTCATTAGCTCCTAACAGCCACAAGTGACTCACTTCCAGCCATGCTTGCTGGGCTCCATCTCAGTCATCTCCTAAACAGTACACAGAACTGTGGCCTTGAGAATTTAGCCAAAAGGTCCTGCTTCGGTCATCTGCATTTCTGCTAAATCACAAATCTGATTCATGATTTCTAGGTGGCTGAGAAAATGGAACTTCACTGGGCACGTCACTTATCATCTCTAAACCTTCATTTGTAACAAGAAGATAACACTATTATAACCAAGCACCACAAATGTTCCCGGCAGTGAGGGCAGAGTCAGCACATGATAAAAGCTATCTTACATTTTACTGTGGTTGCTATTTACTATGATGATTGTGTGCATGCATGCTAAGTCGTTACGGTGGTGTCCAATTCTTTGTGACCCGATGGACTGTAGCCTGCCAGACCTCTCTGTCCATGGACTTCTCCAGGCAAGAATACTGGAGTGGGTTGCCATACTCTCCTCCAGGGGATCTTCCCAACCCAGGGATGAAACCCGCATCTCTTATGTCTTCTGCATTGGCAAACGGGTTCTTTACCACTGGAGACACCTGGGATGCCCATTATTTGTCCCTATATTTGATCTGTTGCCAAATCTCTCTTCATTCCCACCACATTTTAGGCCCTGATTAATTTATTCGAGTACCTCGTTCTTACAAAAGCTTATCAGATCATCATTTCTAATAATACGTGCAGGGTAAAAACTGTGAGGACAGAGAGGCAATCCAGAAGTACAGTCACTCTGCTCATGCAGCAAAAGCTGAAGCCTGTGGAGATTCTGGCACTTCACATATCACTTACCAATGTTAGGTCTAGTAAGCCCCTGCTCAGACTCACTGGAAGAGCGAAAGAGTTTCAAGTGGGGCTTTAAACCATGGATTAAATTCTGACGACTCCTACAGTGATTACAATAACCTGGAGAAAGTTGAGAGTTCTTTTTTTACAAAGATATATATATATAAATATATACACACATACATGAAGTTTTCTAAACCGGAAAGCAGGTTCTATCATTTTTAAAAGTAGGCAAGGCTATAAAATCAGTCACAAATTCTGTGCCACAGAAACTGTAGTGTTTTAAAGACAAATCTGAAAAGTAAATGTACATGATGTAGACAATCTGATGTTTGAGGACAAAAGATTGATGTATTTCTGGACAGGAGGAGAGATGCAATCTCTGCTATGACAAGTTTATGAAGTACACCTAATACTTTTCCTCCATAATTTGGCATTAGTTTAGAAACGCTTAGTCATTCTGTGACCATTAGAAGCATGAATTGTGCGTGTTATGAGTACTGATGTGAATAAAACAATAAATCTCCTCTACAATGAGTCAAACAGAGCTCCAAAATGGTATGAGACTGAATAGGATGATATAATGACTTTTAAGCATTGCTTGCTTGACTCCACTATAGGTATCATGGTTCTGCAAACAGGTGTCCCGTGTCTGGCCATGGAGGAACAGAGTCGTGGAGATAAACTCCAGGACAGACGATGACTTACTGGAGGCACTGTCGATGCTGCTGATGCTGTCTGTGTCATGTAGATGGTGTCTGTGCAGCTGCCTGTAGAGACTGAATTTGGAGAACTTGCTGGGCTTTCCTATTCCTTTCAGTTTTGAATTTGCATCATCCGGAGGCTTCAGGATGGGCAGATCTTTATCAGATTCGTTTTTATCTTTGAGGCATAAGGATTCCATAGACTCTGTTGTTTCAGCCTGAGAAAATTATTAAAAAAAAATAAAGAGAAATGAAAAGAAACTGCATTATATATGTTGCCATGTGGCCTTTTAATTCCAGTTTAAAGTTTACACGTGTTGCTGGCTCCCTAAAAGACACACAATAACGTATGTGAGGTCACCTGCAGGGCAGTGGGGGGACTCTTGTGAGCTGTTTAAAGACTTTCAAAGGGACACCAGGAAGTCCATTACAGTTCCTCTTTCACTGCATCAAATTCTTGCAATTTTATGCCAATTAGCTTTTCAGTTTCAGATATAATTACATGAGTTATACTCACTGATAAACATTAAGCAAGTGATGATTTTTCTGTCAATTATTTCCCCCATTACCTTTCCACTAAATCTCTATTTTCCCAGAAAAGTCACCAACATATACAGCAGAAAAATAAGATGGAGGCCATCAAATTTTTAATAAGTGTATTGATATTTTGGCAACCATCTGAGTTGAAATAATAAGTACATGAATATAGGCGTACAGAGATTTTGGCAGTTCTTGATTTGAAAGGTATGTTGAGGAGTTATTAACCTCCTGCTTTCAAACAGAATTCTCTAGATGTCTCCAGACTGACTTATCCTGTTTTTATATGTCTGTAAGAAGGAAAATTTCAAAACCCTTGGCAGTAACTTGTAATAAGGCTGCTTACTTAAAGTCCAATTGTGCTGCACATTTTTATGAACTTCTTTTTCCCCAAATAGGAATTAAATCTTTAATTTAAATGGAAACCCAAGGAACTGACTATGAGATAGCAAATGCTTTATCAATCTATTTCATTTTCTTACAAGAGAAGAAACTGAGGCAAACAGACCCCTTAGGTGGTATTTGAAACAAGGTCTATATTGGACTCAACTGTCCAGGAATATGCCTCCTTTCATTCAACCCATCAGCCAACCAGTCATGCTTTTAATACACACTTATACAAACTGTGTCCCTTTTATGCAGTTCCATAAAGATGAAATCTACTAACTGTGAGGGAACCCAGAGACGGTCCCCCGATGACGCGCTTCACGCTGCCCACATCCGTGAGTCTGTGTTCGTTGTCATCCCACCTCCCGTAAGCCAGGTCAATCCCACCCACAAAGGCCACCGACTGGTCGATGATGACGAGTTTCTCATGATGAGCCCACAGGTATACGCTGGATGACACATGATCCGGGTGCCTCATCACCTTGAGAGGAAAAAAACCCACACATGTAGTATGCTTTCTAAAATCCCTTTCCTACTATAATAAAATAGGTCTGTTTACACCCTCGAAGAGCATTTCCTACAATTCAAATACTAAAATGTGCTATCTATATCTATACATCAAAGAGAATCCCCAAACTTCTAATCTTATTCTCAGTATTTAGCAGAGGAAGATCCCTGGTTACTTTTCAAGACTCCCCTGCCCACTTTTCAAGACTCCTCTGCCCATTCTTGACCCCCACATTTGTGGGCAGCTACCATTCAGCTTGAAATTTGGCCACATATTTCAATAAAAGTCAACTCAGTGGGAGAGCAGATTCCCTTTCCCCCACCAAAGGATTACATTGTATGTGGTATTACTTAAAAAACATGAAAACTTTTGAACCAGCATCTATATCTGACAAAACTTTTACTAAGTGTATTGCTATTTTAGTAGTCATTGAGTTGAAGTAGTAAGTATATGATATAGGGATATAGATGTTTTGGCAGATCTTGATTTTAAAGGTACTTTGAGAAGTTATTAACCTCCTGCTTTCAAGTAGAATTCTCTCTAAATGATCCCAGACTGACCTATTTTTGTATGTCTTTAAGTAGAAACACACCAAAAATTTTGAAGACAATTTTACTGTTTAACAACATTATTTATTGTGGTGAAATACACATAACATAAAAGCTATGGTTTTAACCTTTTTTATGTGTACAGTGCAATGTTATTAAGCATATTCATATTGTACGACCATCTCCAGAACTTTTCATTTTGCAAAACTGAAACTCTCCACTCATTAAACAATAAAGCCCCCAAAACCTGGCAACTACCATCTACTTTTTGTCTCTGTGAATTTGACTACTGTAGGTACCTCATGTAAAAGGAATCTATCTTTTTATGACTGGCTTATTTCACTTAGAATAATGTATTCAAGGTTCATCCACATGATTTAACATATGTCAGAATTTCCTTACTTTTTAAGACTGAATAATATTCCATGACATGTATATGCCAACCCACTAGTGAGAGAGTGATATTCAAGTGTCCAGCTATTACAGAACTGCTTTATTTCATCCTTTGATTTTGCCCATGTTTGCATAATATATTTTGACAGTCATTATTGGGTATGTAAATGCTTAAAATTGTTATATTTTCTTGCTGCACTGAAAGTTTTATTAATATATAATATCCTTCTTTGTCTACTGTAAACTTTTTTGATTTAAAGTCTATTTTGACCCATATTAGTATAGTCACTTCTGCCTTTTTTGGTTATTATTTACTTAGACTATCTTCTTTTAATCAAGAAAAATATATAATCATTATATACTTTAAGCCTACTAGAGATTTATTAACTCATTGTCTTGAAATATCTCAATAACTGGGCAATATTTACTGATAGGCTTCAGGTCCTTGGTAAAATATCAAATGGCTTTTTTCAAATTGTTTATCATGTTTATTCACCTTAGTAGTACTTTCTACTAAGCGCTTTTAAGGAAAGCACTTTAAATCCTAAAGGAGCTCTTTTTCTATCTATCAGTATTCAAGGGATGTCCCAGGGAGTTCACATCTTAGAGGTTTCAGGATAACCTTAATGAAGAGTATGGAAACTTGATGGGGCTCTTGAATATTAAAACAACTCTAGGAATAATGTTCTTGGCTAAATGATCAGGGTAAAAGAAGCAAAATAAGACTCTGATGATCCCATCAAAATCAGAAATATAAGAAAGTATGTGTGCTCAGTCGTGTCTGACTCTGTGCAGCCCCATGGACTGTAGCCCACCAGGCTCCTCTGTCCATGGAATTTTCCAGGCAAGAATACTGGAGTGAGTTGACATTTCCTACTCCGGGAGATCTTCCTGACCCAGGGACTGAACCCATGTCTCTTGCATCTCCTGCATTGGCAGGTGGATCCTTTACCAGTAGCGCCACCTGGGAAGCCCATAAAGTTCCTAGTACTATTTACTCAAAATATACATGAGGGAATTCCAAAGACTGCCACTGCTCAAAACAAAACATATCTGAAAACTGTAGAAAAATAAAGAAGAAACATTTTTCAGCAAGATGACCCAAATACCTTAATGTTGGGGTGTAGACGCATCAGAGTCCTCTTGCTATATTCACTATTGATTCCAAGGGCAAGTTCCACCTCTTTGTAGAGCATAACAAAGATCCTTACCCCCTGTTGCTGTCAAAAGAAAAAAACACAGGGAAAAATAGGAATTTCTGGAAGTACGCTATGATTTTCTTCTTCTTCTTCTTTTCTGGGCATTGTATTTTCTAAAACTTTCTCCTATAAACAAGTATAATCAAATATTTAATGAAAACTGCAACAGAAGGAGCTGAAATGTATGTGTAGATTAAGACACAAATATAAAAAATAAAAAGCTACCTCCTTTCCATTCTATGCATACTGAGTCAATATTTGACTAATTACAACCAGAATGTTGAAACTGCAACTTTAAATACTAAAAATGTCTGGTAGTCTTACACCTTTGAACATCTCCAAACACTTGACATTAGAGGAAAGTTTTGATCTGATTTATTGTTACAGAATTGGGTCTTCTTTTGTTTTTACCATACCACAATGAGTTGAAATAACAGTGTTTTTTAAAACTTTGATGATAAAATATGCTAAACAAGCCTTAAATGTTTCTGGGGGTATTTTCATAGATTTTTTTTCTTTACTAAAAATTATTTCAGTGGAAAAACATTTCTCAGTCTTTAGAAAGGAATGTGTTGGTTCATACTCTTCACCCATAGTTAAATCAAATTAAGGCCTATTTCACCACTGAAATGACTTCTTCAGAAGTCAGCTTCTCTAACAATCAAAAACCCCTGAGTTTTAGCAGGAGCCCACAAATTAACATTGATCTGTCCTTAGACCTTGGACCTAAAGGAAAATAGACAAAGCCATTGTGAAGGTCATACTGAATCAAAAGTGACTCATAAACTTTAATATGCTATACAAATAATATTTATTATTAATATTAACCATCAAAAAGAATGTCCAACAGCTGGTAGTATAGAAAAGTACCATTATTTTTCTTAGTTCTGGGTAGTGACAAGGTCTTAGCTTATGGTTAATTTTGCCTGACACTGGAATGTTCTCCCCTCTCCTTGTCCTCTTACATGGTTCCCCCATTAACATACAGCTCCTCCAGGAAGCTCTATATTATTATCCTCATTTCTTATATCATTTTTTTACTTTTCAGGTTTGCATCTTCAGTATTGCTGTGTAGTCTGTAACACTGAATTTGCATTTTCTATACCTAGCAGCTCTGAAACCATTCTGAAACATATTATAAACATACAGGATACTGTAGCTACACATAGACATTTACTATCCTACAGATTTAAAGGCAAGAAGTTTTCCATAATCTTTTCTAGAGTATTACAGATACAGGTGTATCTAATTAACTATAGTGATGAATAATAATTTTGTTATAGTTTAAATATAATCCATGGTAATTAGGCATTGTTCATAATGGACATTTGAGTCACAAATTTAAGAAGACTTACTGGATTGAACACATCAAATTTATAACAACTGGACATTTTTGCAATGTTACAAAAATGTGAAAAAAACATAGGAGTTAACATTTTTAGTTTGTAAGATATAAAACCTTGGAGTAAAAAAATATGTTTACAATTCCCTAGTGTTGCTCTGACAATACTAAGGAGCATATTTTAGCCCCTAAATCCTTTAGAATAACACATCACTTCAAGATACTAACTTAGTCTTACTTGGTGTTAATAATATCTGAAAAGTGTCATATTTCTGAAGGGATACACCTGATTTACATTCTGAACTGCATTAAGGAAATCTGAGTACCAGCAGAAAACCCATTCTTGCTCTGAAAGAAACAGGATTAAAAATTCATATGTCATTTTATTTCTCTGGTTAACAACTGACTTTTGGAACTTGCTTATCATTTATTACATTATGCAACTATTATTGTAATCAGGTATGAAAGTACAGACTTAAGTAAAGAAATAACTGAAAGGATTAATTAATTAAAGGCAGGAAGTGAACAGATTAATTTCCATTGATCTGGTCAGTGAGTGCTCTAAATGAAAACTAGAACATTATTTTATTTTTCTCTTCTAGTCTTCAGATATACTTTTCTATTTAAATATTTTAGGATTCAGCAATGAGTAACAGTTTAAAAAATATCCTCCCACTGAATGATGCAATATAAAGTTTAAAACTCCCAATTTCAACCTAAATTATAGAACATTACACCTGACATCTCTCATCACGGTTCATTTGTTTTAAAATGGATGAAATTTTACTTCTTAGGCTTATGAGATTATTATTCATGAAGGACAGTAGTTGCAAATTAGGAACTGGAGTGAATCTTATAAATTTCCATTTATCTGCATAACGAATGGATTTTTTAAAATAATAGAGATGCTGGCACTAATGGATTATAGTATTGATATTATCCTCCATCTACTAATACCTGACATTTTCTTCTTTGCTGTGTCTTTCCTCATTGAAATAAATTAACCTATAGGAAATAGGATACAGACTTTTAAGTCATCTTATCTTAAATAGAAATGACTAATAAGGAAACAATTAAATATAAAAAATTCATTTTTATATAGTCTGGTTTACAATTGTTTACTTACGTCATGTCCACAATAAACAGTTGATTAGTGACAAGATTTTTGTGATAATAAGGAAATAAATTCCTCTTCTTTTGGTCAAGGCATTACAACACTATCATAAACTCTCAACTATAAAGGGCAAAGCAAAATATATCCCCTGGGAATGAAGGCATTTGTTGGGTCCTAAAAGTGAAGACTTACACAAAATATGGGAATATTTGCACACAGTGAAAGCCAAATCAGAAACAAAAGGACTGATGTTAATTCTGTAATTTAAAAATAATGCTTTTGAAGAATCTGATGTTTTACCAAAGCCTTTCAGTGACTCTAGGGGAAATCACCTTTTGCTCAGAAGAAAAGTATTAATAGGGTAAGTGGGAAAACAGATGGCCCTGGAATTGACTGTGTTTCTTACATTTCAATGTCCTGTTTCTTATCTTTGCTGAAGTCAGCTAACCCAAGGATTCCACACAATAAACTTTATGACACCTGACTTTAAAAAGATAAAAGTTCTATCTTCTTTTCTAATTCATTTTTCATCAAGTAGAACAGATACAATACTATAAACAGTATGAACTTTTAGGTGCTTTACACATACAAATGCATGTGAAGAAAATGAAAAATAAAAAAATGTTTATAGTTGAAATCAAGAGACTTTGTTTCTGAGCCAGCTTTTTCTCTGATCGTTCAAGCACAGTGGTCAAAATATTTTCTAAATGTAGTCAACCTGGTTCACTGCCTAAAGACAGCTTAGCTAGCACCCCTCCCCCCCAGAACAATCACTAATTTTATCACCTGTCAAGGACTTCCCTGGGGAGCAGCACAGCAGGGATGGACAGTCTGTAATATTTTAAGAAAATGAAAAGTAAAGGATAAAAAAGAATCAGATCCTCACCACTGAAATGCAAGCAGCACTGGTAGGTAACTGCACAAGTGCTCATAAGCCTTTTTTTTTTTCCTTTCCAAGACAATTTTGTTTAAAGCACAGTCCTTAAGGTTGAAGATCCCATCCCTCCTTCCCTATTTCACCCTTCTAGCCCACTACTTTGATAAGATTCTCTTTGATTTTTCTGTTCAGTGATGTGATTATTCATCTCGTTTGATGAACCTGGACATCCTTCTTTGCTTTTGGTCTCTGATAGCAACTTTAGAATGTGCTCTGTGGTCCAGGACAGAAAGAAACTAACTTGATGACAAAATACCCCCTGAGAACGAAGGTTCTATAGTTCTCCAGATTGCTGCACTTTAAGAATCTTCTGGTGCAGTTCTCATCAGAAATATCACATATTTCTATGGTTAAAATATACAAACTGGATACAGGGATGCAGTTACCATGAGCATGATGCAATTTATTTTACCTCTTAGTACAATAAATTCAGAACTGCACAAACCCTGGGATGCTGCTTTGAGTTGTAAACAGTCTGTCTCTCAACATCGGTTTAAATTATTTTAAATGATGACAGGGCATGACAGAAGACCAAAGAAACAGGAAAATATCAACTAGGTTACTACCAGAGAAACAAAATATTGTATTTTTTCCCCCAGAAACAGCCATTTAAAGAGATGTTTGCCTATTGTTGGCTATAAAGTAGAGACAATAAATTTCTCCCCAAAGAGCGGCACAATCGGATAGAAGAAAGAAAGAATTCATTTCATTCAACCTTGTGGACCTCTGGGATCCATTAATGCAAGAGTAAATGCTATTTCAACCCAGTACTTTGTGACGCTAGTGGTTTTCAGAAACTAAATTATGTATGTAAAGCAGTGTTTATGAGCATATGAAATGTCAATTTGGAATGATCTGAGTGTTAAAAATTTAATAATATGGTGTAGCTGGATTAGGGAAGAGAAATTCTATTAAATGTACCACTGAGAAATTAATATTTAATAGCATTACTCTTTCCTTAGGAGATCTAAAAAATCATAACATGTAATTTAAAAATTACAAGTTTCAAAAAAGCAGACGAAATTAAAACAAAGCTCCATTATCAGTCAGTAATATTTATTTGGCCACAGTATTCACCTGATACCTCACAGGGTTCATGGGCCATAAAAGCAAAGAGAAATCATGACAGTGGTAGAAAAGGGACCTGGACAGGTACGCTGAGGGGAATAAACAAACACAGGCCAGCTAACATGGAGTGGAGGACCAGGCTTGTAGGATCTTCCTCCTGAACCCCGCTCTGGAAAAAATTACTAGCTTTCTGGCATATACTTAGGTGTCCTGCAGGTACCTCATAGTCACATGATCTAAAACGTAGCTCTCTGATCCTGGGTTCTTCCCACTTTCTTTCTCTACCACATTCACCCTACCAACACACCATTTTGATCAGCTCACCCTTTGTCCATCACACCCCCCAACAATAGTTCCCCACTGTTTTTCCATGAAGTTCAAACCACTGGCTTAGTTCCAAAGCCTCCCCATCCCAGCTGCTTCTTCAGCTTGATGCCCCATCCTACATATGCTAACACTCGTATGTCATCAACCCTGTCACCTCACTGTGATTGACAAGGACTTAGAATTCCTGCCTCCAGAATGTTTCCTCATCACAGTTCCTATACCTAGAAATCTCTTCTGTTAAAATTTTCGGCCCATCTTAAATGCTCTAAGCCCCTCATGTTGTAAGGGGCTTCCACACCAGACCTACCCGATGCTCTCCCTCCTGCTTTGAATCTTGGCACTCTCTCTGTACCCAGCTGACCTCTATACAGATCTTTAAGCTCCTTCAGGTCAAGAATCGTGTCTTTCATTTTTGTACACCCCCATATGATTAGCCAGTGCCCTAACGTAGGAGGCATTCAACAGAAACATGTCACATGAAACCTAAGAGAGTAAAGCATTTGATAAGCACAAGAAGGGAAGATTTATTAGTATGACTGATGACTGGAAGGGCAAAGCTGGGAAAATGTATTAGAGTGGAATTTCTGGAGTTTATTTCTGGAGGAGAAATGAGAAAGGTGCTGTTTCACAGAGAAAAACATGGAGAAAGTTATAGCCCATTCAATATGTAGGAAGATGTTTGGTAAGCCTAGGACTGAGCCCAGGATGTGAGTTCTTCAGCAAGCCCTCCAGGGGCAGGGATGGGATCCTAGTCACACACATGACATCCTTAGTCATCAGCATAGGACCAGATGCAGAGGACACACTAGTATCTGTATGCGGGATTATTTAATGAATATGCAAATACATGTAAGACTAGAATTTCCAATTTTGTGAATGGAAGTCTATTGAGATAACAGATAGACTAGCCTAGAAAATGATGCTTTGGCAGAACATGTGTTTGAAATCAAGAAAATCAACTTCTTTTCCTTTTAACATCAGCAGTGAGGAGTGCCTATACCTACCCCTGGATATCCTAAATTAAATGCATGGGGAAAAGACATTGAAAGAAGAGGGAAAGGTGAGTGGGGAAAGGGGTAGGGGAATGTAGAGGATGGGAAAAAAGAAATGAGTGATGGCTGTGAGAAATAGAAAATGCTAACCTCAATTACTTAGGATCTGCAAATTCTGCTTGAATGTTTAATGATAGAATTTTGATTGAACCCGGGTCTCCTGCACTGTGGGCAGACGCTTTACCGTCTGAGCTACCAGGGAAGTCCTAAGACAATTTCAAATAATAGTAAAAAGGCTTTGCTGCTATTGTTGTTTAGTCACTAAGTCAAGTCTGACTCTTTGTGACCCTATGGACTGTAGCCTGCCAGGCTCCTCTGTTCATGAGATTATCCAGGCAAGAATACTGGTATGGTTGCCATTTCCTTCTCCAGGGGATCTTCCTGACCCAGGGATAGAACCCATATCTCCTGTATTACAGGTGAATTCTTTAACCACTGAGCCACCAGGGAAGCCCAGTAAAAAGGCTAGCACTTCCTAATTTGGACATGATTAATAACAAATTTAGATCTATTCTAATTCAACTTAATTTAACTTGAGGGTCAACCACATAAAAAGGTTCACTGTTACTGTTTTCTGTTGTTTTAGTCACTAACTCGTGTCCAAGTCTTTTGTGACCCCACAGACTGTAGCCTACAAGGTTCCTCTGTCCATGGAATTTCCCAGGCAAAAATGCTGGAGTAGGCTGCCATTTCCCTCTCCAGGGGATCTTTCCAACCCAGAGATTGAACCCACGTCTCAAGCATTGCAGGCAGATTCTTTATTGCTGAGCCACTGGGAAAGCCCAAAAATTCATTAGAAATACGAATGCAAAGTAGTCATTGGTGAGCCTATACTGCTTCAGTTATTTACTTTTTATAACAAAAAGAGCACATTCAATACTCTCCCAGAATCTATAGTGTCAATTTACCATAAACTGTTTCCAAGCTGGAACCAGTGGTTTTTTATGACTCTCCTTTGATGTTCTTCAACATCACCTTGAACCCATCTGACTGAAATTATTCTCAGATGACTCTGTCTTTGGCTCAAATGACAAATAGTGAAAAAAAATAAAATGCTGTGTTTCATTTTATCATTTATTATTCAACGATGAATTTTCATTACAATTTTTGCCTATAAAATTAACTGCCCATAACTGATTATGAAACGAAAAGAACAGAGTTGCTAATATAATTCATGCTGTGAATTAGGTGAAAATAGCTATGTTTAAACAGTAATGGGGGAAAAAAAACCCATAATAAAATGAACTTGAAAACAGTAAGTATTCTATTTTTTGTCAAATTCTAAAGAAAAGTGTTATAAGTGCATATGAAGGGCTTTAAAAAAAGGCATTTCAGAGGCAATAAACATTTAAAAAATTATATCAGCATGTTAGTAAAGTACATACTGCTTTTCGCTTAAGGATGCAGTCCAACCTCCAACGATTTCCTTCAACCACCGGACGTTTCAGGAAGATTTCTGGACTCAACCTGAAATCACAAAACCAAGATTTCAAGAAACTGAAACAAAATATTCAGTTCTGATTGTGTCATAGGAAGCAACGGCAATTTTAGCCCAAATGCCATTACCATCCTCCACTGTGGCAGGTCCCCCAAAGTTCTCTATGAGTCCACGTACAACTCCGTGCTGGAAAACAACCTTTATCCAAAAAAAGGGCAGTCTCGATTTTTCTGTTACTCACATATCATACATACACACACTTGCAGATACTATTGACTGTCTGCTCAACAACCATTGTCCACCTTTTCGTTCCTTGGTATCAGGGCCTACCTCCCATGATTGAATATGAATATTCTGCATAATTGCTTCCTCAGACTTGTGTTCAGCTCCAGTTTATAAAAGAACACAATCCTGCGCAATGTGATATATGAGGAAGTACACAGACAATGAGATGTATGAGGAGGTAAATAGAAAAGTTCTTCCTCTGATGAGAGGAAAAGACACGGGCACACACACAAAACCCCAGGGAAAGTGGCTCTGGGATGGATGTTGTATGGGGCCATGATGCTTAGGTAGTGGCAGCCACACTGCAATTCTAAAGGTAAAGCCACCACTCTAACATCACTGGAGAACTTCACCAACTCTAGCACTGCCTAACTTTAATTATTATCATTATTTTTTTTTGATGTGGACCATTATTAAAGTCTTCATTGAATTTGTTACCACATTGCTTCTGTTTTATGTTTTGGATTTTGGCTATGAGGCATGTGGGAATCTCAGCTTCCTGACCAGACATCAAACCCACACCCCCTGCATTTTGGAAGGCAAAGTCCTAACCACTGGACCACCAGGGAAGTCCCTAGTACTGTCTAACTTTAGAATTCTCATTCAATGAGACAAATAAATCCTAATTGTTTAAGTTACTTTTAGTTGAGTATTCTAGCAACCCAGGTCAAAAGTGTTCTGATTGATAAACATGAACACTGACTTCCTATACCAAGGAGCAGTGTCCATGGGAACCTGGGCTTTCTGAACAGGGAAGACAGCGGGCTTGCTGATAGGTAAGCTTTTCCCATTGTGAGAATGGACCCCTGGGTTCTTCATAGTAGTACCATGGGCAGCACAATACAGGAGTCACTTTTTCCCTCGGGGTTAGATTCCAAGTCATTGCATGACTTAAACTGGTAAGTAGTGTAACTCCTCTGTAATGGGAAAAACAAACAAAAAAACAATAAAGTTTCATCTGCTGAAATGCTAGACCTGAAGGAGCAGGGTAAACTGTTTAAGTCTTATAGAACACTAGGGTGAAATATCGTCTTGCTAGGGGGTCTTCGAAGCATGGGAAAACCACAGGGTTTTAAGGAGCTGAGGAGATTAAAAGAAATAATTTTACACTCTACTAAATTCAGTTAGAGAAAATAAAAATCCAGAGAAAAAGTATCTAAAAGAAACTTGTATTGGATAAGATAAGTAAGAAAGGAGACAATAGAGGGGTGTATACACTATAAATATTTACATATTTAGTTTAAAATAGGAAACAACTTGAACAAAAAATACAGCAACTGACAGGAAAAGATCTAAGATGAATTAAAAACAAATCTGTTTTAAATAGAAAAGTGTGTCATTGAGCACTGCTAGTTCACTGAAAGTAGGACATACCCAACAACATATACTTGCTTGCAATTTTCAATGTACATATTAATTATGGGCTCTGAGGGCTTCAGTGTGGGGGGCATTTTCAGGTCTATACTCTGCAATTAAGTCATTATCATCTTTTATTAAAATCTAAAAACACTGTGCACTCTGTATGCAGAGGATTCTACTAGATACTTTGGAGGATCTTAGGCAGGCTCTCAAGGAAACCTCGATTTTGAGCATAATATATGAAAAGATAAAAGTAGTCATGCTATGAAAAATGATAGTCATGCTATAAACAAAGCATAAACAATGGCAAGTACAGTATAGCTATGACTCACACGCATCATTATGTCAGGATCTTAACAATAATCTTAAGTAATTATTAGCTAAGCAAAATTCAAAAGAATTGTGTAATATCACATTTCACTGGGTTTCGGACAACAGTGAATGTAAGATGCATATTACTGTGTGTACCAGTAAGAAAGAAAAAGTGATGACATCTATAAGACGTTAATGAGTGTGAGATGCGTTCCAAATTCAGAGATGTTAAAAAGTACTTCTAAGTAAAGGCACTTCTTAGAAGATTTTATAGTTTTAAATGCTCATATGAGAAAGAAAATGTTTAAAATAAATCATCAGAACTTTCATCTTAAAAAAAATAGAAAAAAGAATAAATTAAGAAAAAGTAAGAAGAATGGAAATAATAGATAAGAATAGACCTTAATGCAACATAAAACAGAAAAACAATAAACTCAATAAAACCAAAATCTAATTCTTTGAAAGATTAATAAAACTGACAAACTGGCTAGATTGAAAAAGAAAAGGGGAGTTGATTATTTTTGTGGGAAGAAATAATACCAATTCTACCAAAATTCACTCAGGAAACAAAGGCAGGGAAAACATGTACTTACTCATATAATGAGGCTAACATTATCTGAATATGAAAACCAATCAAAGAAAATCTAAGGAAAGAAAATATTAAGTACAATATCCCTAACGATCACAGAGGTAAAAATCTCTACCAAAACTTCACAACTTATTAAAAAGGATCATGACAAAATGGGATTATTCCTAAGAATGCAAGGTTGGTTTAAAAGTTAAAAATCAATCAATATAATTCAGCACATTAACAGAAAACAGAAAGATTGTATCAATGTATGCAGAAAAAAGTCTTGACAAAATTCAATACCCATTTAGAATAAAAACTCTCAATACATTTTAAGTAGAAAGGAATTTCCTCAAAGTAAGGAAAGGCACCTATTTAAAAACCTACCTAAAGCATGTAATAAAAGACTGAAAGCTTTTCATCTAACACTGAGAACAAGAAAGATGTCCATTCTTACTACTTCTATTCAACATTTTACTGATGATGCTAGCCAAGGCAATAAGGAAAAAGGAAGAGAAAAAGAAATACAAGGCATACAGATCATAAAGGAAAAAGGAAAACTGTCATTATTCACACATCACATGCTCATCTATGGGGAAAAATCCTAAGGCATCTACAAGACAGTTACTCGCACTAGTAAGTGAACTAAGCAAGACTGCAGTAGGGAAGATCAGTATTAAAAAATCAACAGTATTTCTATATGCTGGCAGCAAATAAATGGAACATGAACTTTTAAAAATACCATTTACAAAAACATAAAAAACATGAATTACTTATTGATAAGTGCAAGTATGTGAAAAGTACAAAATACTGACGAGAAACTTTAAGATCTAAAAAAAAAATGGAGAGATATACAGTATTCATGAATTGGAAGACTCAATACTGAGAAAGAAGAACATATTTGTTCTTGACATATCTTGTAGTGAGTAGTGGTTTTACTGTTCTTTTCCCTCTGATTTCTCAGCTGGGAAGAGAACTGGAAATGGGCATTGGCACAGGCAGAGAGAACCTCAGAAGTCCTCTGGTTCAGGCTTGAGGAAAGGAAGAGTGGGATCTTCTGGCAGTGGTGGGGTGGCAGGGAAGGGCCCATAGGCATCAAAAACTCCAAGGAAGTGGAATTTTCCCTTCCAATGGAAGAAATGTGGTTCGAAGAGGAGGATACAAATATTCATTGCTTGGCTCTGGTAACAAAGTATCATTGCAGAAATTGTGTAGCAGAGCAGGGCACATTTCTATCAATAGCCCGAGGACTAAAAAGGGAAGCAACAGGCAACCCACAAGTGGTGGGTAGATCATGGAGAGAGAGGAGCTCAGAAAAGCAATGCTATATAAAGTTGTTTATGAACTTCTAGCTCACTCCCAAGCTGCCCACACATAGATTTGATCCTAAATATTATATAGAAGAATTTGAGAACCGAAATAAGAAATAAATCACTGCCCAAATTGGCCATTAGGTGGAGAACATGGGGGACAGATCTAAACAGCACTGCAAAGACTGTAAAAAGAAAGATGTCACTAAAGACACACAGATAGAAGACTAGTTGGAACATTCTGCATGGACCTAATGGACCACTTTCCTGCTAAAACAGAAATACCAGTATTTTCTGTAAGATTTAAACAAGACCCAGAGTCATAATATTCAAAGCTTCCAGAATACATTAAAAAGTACTTGGCACACCAAATTAAAAAAAAAAAAATCAGAAAAATCTCAACTTGCAGGAAAGCCATTCAACAAATGCCAATTCCAAAATTATATGCTGGAATTATTTAATATAATTCTTTGCTAGATATTATAAAAATATTTCAGCAAGTAAGGGTGAACACTCTTAAAATGAATAGAGAGTCAAAAAGTCTCAGCAAAGAAATAAAGATATAAATAAAAGCCAAAGAGAAATTTTCAAGCTGAAAAATACTACAATAATCAAACTCTCAGTGAATAGGGTCACTAGAACAGAGGTGACAAAGGAAAGAATCAGTGAACTTCAAGAGAGATAAAGAGAAATTATCCAATTTGAGTAACAAAAGATTTTCTAAAAAATTAACAAAGCCTGAAAGACCCATAGGACAATACAAAAAGATACTGATTTGTGTCATCAGAGACTCAGAAAAAGAGGAGAAAAAGGGAAATTCAGGAAAAAAGTCTGAAGAAACGATGGCAGAAAGTTTCTCAAATTTGATGAGTGACATAAACCTACAGATTCAAGAAACTCAGTGAACTCCAAATAGGATAAATTCAAACACCACAATCAAACATAATGACAGGAAGAAAATATTAAAAGCACTCAGAAGAAAAACAATGCATTATTTAAGAGGGGAACAATAAACAATAAACCAAATGACCATGAATTTTTCATCAGAAAACACTGAGGCCAGAATGAACTGGAGTAAATTGTAACTAGAATGTATAAAGATCTTCTGCAATTCAGTAATAGGAAGACAATCCAATAAAAAAAGAAGAAAAATAAGATTTGAACGTGCCTCCAAAAAAAGCTAAACAAATATCCA